TAACTTAATTCCTAATGGCTCAAAGTGAGCACATATCAAGCCCATTAATAAAAAAGAGGTCCAAGAAAAACTGGTAGAAAAGCTTTAGGGAGAAAAAAAACATCCCTGCAACATCCCAAGAAATCTAATCATGATAGGGTGAGAAAAGAATGTGGCCCTGGATTGATGGATGATGTGCAGATATTTTTTGTTAGAGCCTTATGAAACAAGTAGAAAGTCCAGATGTTTCAGAGAGACTAAATGGTTCAATATTTCTAAAATGGGTGTTGTCAGGGGAGCTAGTTAACACTGAGATGCCCAGATAGGCTGTGTCTTCCACTTGGCTTTGCTAGTTGGCCTAACTCAGGCTTTTCTTTCTATAAGGTGTTCTGAGCTTCAGCAGAACAACCTCTTCAATTCAGTTCAGCTGACCACATCAGGATGCCAAATGACACAAAAGTGGATCTGTGTGTAGGACCTGATTCTTATTCCACAGGAATGGGGAAAATAATACATATAGGGTAGTTATAGGCCAATATAATCTTCAGTCTGGTTTTATTCATACCCATCCTCCAGGTTTCTGTGGGTAAGTCTCTCAAATACTTTGAAATTACTCTATACTCACACATTTCTAACTTAAAAGATCACTTTTTTATTCCCCGCCTCATTGGAAATTTGAATCTTGTCTATTCAGCTTGGAAAAAACAGACTTAATTCTCCACTCCTACTATCTCCATCCTTTGTTTACATTTGTCAGCAACTCTGCAGGTCTTTCTATTGCTATTCATCTCCAGCCTGACATTAGAAGAATCTCTAAAAATATCACTCACTCTATTTCTATTTTAAGTGTGAGGTGCTTAAAAGATTAACTTAAGAGAAAATATTCTTTCCTTTACTTGGCGATTTAATCTGCTAAAACATAAATCAATCTCAGTTTCTCAACACTGTAACAAGACCCAAGGCAGACAGAGCTTTGGGATATATTTACTATGACATTTTACTGTGGTTAATTTTCAGAAGGGGACAAATCTTGCTTCCAGGCTTTGCTCCAGTCAATCCAGTGGCTCCCCAAATAACAGAACACCTTAATGTTATGTAATCTGGAGAGTTTTTTTCCATCACAGCTGGGGCTTGGCTGCTGGCTCACTGTTCCTCTGTCAGGGTCTCCTTAAGCGAGTCTCCCTCCTCACCTCAGGGATTTTTATCCTGCAGTCTCTGGGATGCCTTTCTACGCTGCAGTGGAAGGAGGATCTCCTCCCCTGCCTTCCAGATAGCTCTGCAAAGAAATCAGCAGCCTTCACAGGGGTTCATAAATGTCTTTTTCTCACTTTCTACACTTTAGTCTCTGATGACTTCTCTTATCTCTTGACCAGCACTGACTTTTTGAGGCTGTTCCCCCACGTTACTACAACATTTTCCTTGTGCATGTTGATACCTCAAATACTGACAATTACTTGAGGTAAAGACTTTGGTATTTCATATACTGCATATCTGATGATCTAATAGATTCCCCTGCTAACTGCTTTTCTCTTAAGGAACTTAGCTTATTTATGAACACAGTGCAACCCATTTTCACACCAGCTGAGGTTGACAGGAGGTTTTTGTAATGATTGTTTCATGTCTTCTTTAGAGGGGAAATGTGCTAATAAATAGAGTTTCATTTAGATTTTATGATTTCTATCTATTTTCCAAGAGCTGATATTTCTTGATAGTAACAATGATAACATTCGTCCTATAGGCATATTTTCCTTTGACCCAAGGAGCTGCATATGTACATATATAGTGGTGTGTGCACAAGGAGAGACACATACATACATACTCTCCTCTTTCTTTATATATGGAAAGTGTTTTTCCTTAACAGCTGAAAGAACACAGACTGTTAGTAAAATAGTGCAAAGAAAAACATATAATTTCTAAGTGTGACCAATGTAAGCAAGATGTAATCATTGTTGGGACCACTGAAAATTGCATGACCAGCAATGATTTATTAGTAGTGCAGAATCTAGGGAAATACTCCCCTCTAAATTATTGTTTCCCTGGCTCTAAGCATTCAATAAATTCCCAGCTTGAGCTCAGCCAGGGAATGTATTTTCTCCTCTTCTCTATATTTGTCTGTGGTCTGCATTATCATTCACTAAAACAATGCAGTGTCCGAATATATTTTCTTGATCTGCAGATTTGAAAGCTTTTGTGACCCCCTATTTGACCCCTCCTCCCTCTTAGGAATTTCACAAATAAATCACTAACTAACATTCATGTAATAAATCGCTCTCTTTCTTAGTTATATACTAGCTATACACTTTTTAAAGAAGGGCAAAGTAATATAGAAAATCTAACTTGAACTCAGTAGGTTGGAAGGCTTAAAATGTGCCATTTCTGTGCTCACACTGCATGATTTGGCCCTGTCTTTTAGAAAATATATCAAAATATTATGAATAATTTCCTAAAGTGGTATCTTAGTGGAAGATTGGAAAAGCCTCTTAAAAAGAGGGATCTCTGGTTATTTGTCTGAAAAAAAAGCACCATACCCTGGCCACCATTTTTCTTTTTAACTACTTAAATGTTTTATGCAAATCTCTCTTTGCACTAATTTCTGAAGCTTTCAGGAAATAAATATGAAGAGGAAATTTTTATCAGCAGGTGCCAAAAACGCAGTTAAAGTTGCTTGATGTTGCAGTCAGTGCTATTTTCACTAGGGACAGAAATGATCAGACCAAGGAATTTTTCATATCCTCTAAGCAATAACTAAGTTGTTGACAAGCCGTTGCTGATGGAGCTGGTCAAAGTCAAGTTCATCTTGGCTGTGAATTTGCTGAAGACGTTACCATGTTCAGTGAGGGGTGGGGAATCTCTGAATGCCATTTTGAGAGGACAAAGGGCTAGATTCATCTTTCAAAGACTTGGTCTCACAGAGGTGACAGCTGGTACTTTGCGATGGCCTATGGTGAATTTCTGGTTATCAAGAGAGACATAAGCACCACTGCTATAATATCAGCTAAGGAAAAGAAACAGCACATGGAGAAGCGCAGTTTCCAAAATTCTGTACATTTGCATTTCACTGATAAAGACACAGAAAGAAAAAGAAAATCTATTGTATACTTGGGCCAGAAATGGGTAGCTATTGCTATTGGAAGGTGATGAGGAAGAAGCAGTAAAGATTTGTAAAGCCATGGGAGGTATAGGTAATTTAAACTAGAAGAAAAAAATGCATCATTTGAGCCAAGAAATCACTGACTGGGCTTTCTGGTTTTGCCATTAATTTTAAACTGCACCTGTCTGGGCATTGTTCACATTGTAGCCATGACTCTTTGTAGCCATGCGCTTGACTCTTTTTTTGCTAAGCTATTAGACAAGTTCATCTTTTGGAAATTAGCACACGTGACTAAACACACAATGATAAAAGCACTTATATTATTTCCATAAATTCCCCTGACAGCCATTTGAATGCAAATTGAGCAGAAAGAAACCCTGTTTAAATGAATTAACTAGGAAAGACGACAGAGGAGGGGGAGGGAGGAAGGACAGAACACAGACAGAAGTAGATGCACCCTCTTAAAAATAGCATTAATTCTTATTCAATGTAAATAAAGAAAACATTTTCAACACTATTATTTAAGGTCATAGCCCTCTTTAGTTCATTTATCCATCTCTGAGTACACTGATACAATCAAGATAGTGAATCATGTGCCATCTAGTTCAATACTGCAAACCAGGGACTGCTTGGTATGTGTTGGCTTTCTTTCCTTTTGTCCCCATGAACAAAAGAAACAGAAATCTCCAAACTGAAATGATAACAGCACAAAACTGAAATGATAAAACACATAAAATGAGTCATCTGTTTAGAATCACCCACAAACATACCTCCTCTTGGCAAGGCTCTTGCGACTGTGCAGGCTGCCCTGGTGCGCACTGGCTGCAGGATATAGATGACTGTTAGAAGATTTACAATAAAGCTACACTTAATCAGTCAACCAGTTTATTTTGTCTTGAAAACTGTGAAGTAAGACAAAGGTTTATAAAACTTCAAAGAGTGTGGTAGATTATTTAGGTTTGGCTTCTCTGAGAAAGGGTGATGTTACTTCCGGTGGAGGCTGTGGCATGGCTTCTGCCTCCAGGGTCTGACTGTGCAGGGCAAGGGAGGTGGAAAGGGAGCATTATGCTTCTCCCAAGAAACCCACTCTCAAAGAAGCCAGTTGGGTTTGCAGGTTTACCTGGGTATTAGTCATAACAAAGCATTGCATCTGAAAGGATTTGAACAGGAAAAATAAGACTGATGGAAATGAATCCTGTATGAAGTACAGGTTCCCTTCCTCCCTTTCTGGGAGGGAACCAGAAAGAAAACAGGCACTTACTCTCCCATATGTTCCTAAATCAGGCAGTTACTGCAATACATCTATATGCAGTCTTCTCATATCTTTCATGGTGTGCAGCATCTATACATATACCGAGGTAAAGACAAACCAAGTGTGTTGCGAGGAGTGGCGTTAGTGATTCAGTGTGTGCTAGTATCACTGCTCTACTGCTACTCAGATTTGGCAAGTCACAGATAACTATGCAGATGACATGATTTTCAGAAGAAATATAAAACTTTGACAGTTTTTTTTTGCAAATACTAGGTTTTAATTTAAAAAAATATTCAATCTTAAACAACGTATTTTTTAGCAAATTTAAAGCCCTGTCACTAAATTTCAACTAAAACTGTAAATAAATTTCATATTGTCTCAAATACAATACTTGAAGCTGAAATAGTCACATGAAGCCATCTGATTTAAACAATCTGAACTTTGAGAGCTACAGTACACTGTTCCACAACACAACTTTATATGCAAATATGTGTTTCATGTTGTCTGAAAATTAGAAACTAGTTGATTTGAATTATGGTTAAGACATGAATAATACATTTAAATAACAGCATGAACTGTCCATAAATCTGAGCTAACTGGTAGTACAGTTTAATCCAATAGCATGGATTTGAAATATGTAATAGAACAGATTCTAAATTGTGAACAGATATCCTTTCTTTGTGGCTGACTGGGTTTGAGTTCATATTGTTCAGAAGATACATGTGAATGTTTTGCTGCAGCTGAAAGGAATGAACTATATCCAGTAGATCCTTTCTCATATAGAATACAATGAAAAAGACAATGTCAGAAGCTATGATCTGCTTAGACAAAAAAAAACCTCTTCAAATTTAGCCTTCCATGAAAGCAATTGTTCCATCACCATCTTAATATGAACCAAGAGATAATAGAAGTTACACTATTGTACACACATTTTCTCCATAAAATTATAGCACTGTGATGCAAAAACTTAGCCTTTATCCCAAGGCACTCTCCAAGAAAATTAAAATCCAAGCCATGTGGGGACACTACCTTTGAAACACAGTTACAGAAGAGGGTCAGAACAGTTCACAAAATCCAGCAAGACTGTTTGCAAACTGACAATAGTGAAAACAAGCCTCTTGTCACCATTTTCATTTGGTAAAGATAGAATGAAGGCCTTGACAACTTCTGAAAGTGCTATACATACTGAAGTATTGCCCAGACATCACATTCAAAGGAACTGCATAATATCTAAATAAAAATAGGGAAATATCAATATGGCCAGAACTCTCTTAAATGTTGTTCTGACTGGATGGCAAGGTATTTTAGTAAAGGTCATGTAGTAGTTATCCTATAAAAAAAAAAGTATGTATGTAGTTAAATGTGTTATTCTTGCAAACACTTATTTACATAGTAACGGCCTGAATGTCAGCAGCACATTCATTCTCTGCTGTTAACATATAGGCAATGGAGGCTCTAGCTGCTCTTCAGAGGAAATGCTAGTGATAACTGGCAGATGTGAAAACCAGCAACACTTTGTTAACACTTTTGATACCAAGCTGGAAGTCAGATTTTCAATCTTTTCCCAGCAAGATTGCTTACAAGGGGAAAGGGCAACTGAGATGGTGAACAGCCAATACAAACACATTTCACTGAAGGGCCTTGAAATGTTTTTAGGCAAAGGTTTGAACACATCTAATGGCACTGTGGCACGCTGCAAAGAAACAGCACTATGGCTTTAGTCGGATCTTGCGTTATGCCGGGCCATTGGCACAACCTTCCGTTGGGAAACTAAGAAGAAAAGAAAACAAGAAAACAAGAAAAACTAAGTATGTTTAATGCTCTGTTCATGAAACACATCTGACCTAAGAGAGGGAAGTGATAACCATCATGTCCTCTGGTCAGTTTGTATAGCTTTGCCAAGTTCACCCTGCTTTCAGGCACTATCTGCTGGGAAAATGTTCCCTTGCCCTGTGTATTTCTGCTCTGTCTTTTCCTCCACTGAAGGCCACTGGAGACTCATCGCATGCTGCATAACTGCTGCAGACTTGGAGAGAATTCACGACTGAAGGGGGAAAGGAATAATCCCAATGTTTTGCTAGATCCCCAGCACCATAGTGGCTCAGAGACCAATGGGGATCCCTAGGTCTATGTAAAAGGGTTGATAATTTGCTTCAGCATGAAGTTGAGATAACTACAACAGGACTGAGAATTTTACTGAAAATGAAATCTACTCCATGTGCTGCATGGGAAAGATGTGTTACAAGGACAGACAGAGAAATGAGGAAGGATGACAAAATTTTAAAATAAATTATATTGTAGATAAGAAAATCGGCCGCACAAGCAATTCTGACATAGAAACTCACATTTGCATCCTCTGAATCTTCAAGGTAATAATTCTTATTGTTTTTCAACACTGCATTTTTGCTGTGTTATTCTGAGAATGGAGATCAATCTTTCTTACAGCAAACTTTAATAAAGCTTTTTGGTAATATTTTTCTCCCTAAAATTCCAGTACTCATTAGTTCAAGAAACTGAGCGTGACACATCGTGGTGTTATTTAACCACACAGTACAAAGATGCAGATTAGACACTGCTCAGTAAGAGCAAGTCATTTCCATAGACAAAGAAAAATGCAACAATCTGAAAAGTAAATAAAAATTGCAGTAATGTGTATGTTAAAATGTCCCACAGATGCTTAAATGAGAGCACTGTTTTTAAAGAGAACTTTCCTTTGTTCTGTAATCAAAAATATATGAATAAAGTCCAAGCTTCCATCATAAGAGACATTAAAATAGAAAAAAAAGATGGCATTTACCTTATCTTATGGAGGGCTACACATCTCTATTCAGTAGTGGTATCCAACATGCTTATCTGCACTCCCACTTGACTCTACATCTGCTGAGCTACCCAGGAGAATGATGCATCTGGAAAGGTTGAATAGGCCAAGGGAGTTGACATGTATTTTGCAATGTTTTTGAGAAAACTTATTGGACAGAGGTCAACATTTTTTTTTCTTTTTTTCTCTTTTTTCCCCTCTCTTTCTTCTCCTCTCCCTCTTGCATCCATTTGCATTAAATAAAACATATTGTATGTTTTTTTGAACACTCAGATCTGTTTTTCACCAGGACTCCAGAAATATATTTAAAAGTGTTTGCTTTGAAGAATATTGTATGTAAGGGGAATGCTTGAGAGGATATAATAGGAGGGCTAATAGTGGGCAATACATGCAGACAAAAAGAAACAAAAGAGGTTTCTGATAAAACAGATTATGGTGGAAACTGTTTGATAAACAAGTTTTATAGTTACAGCCAAAAAATAGTATTGTTATTTATTGAGTGGACACCAGGGCACATCAGCAGGGCAAAATTACCAAATATAGTATTTAAAACATTTTAAGTTATTGAATAGAGAAAAGAAATATATTTCTATATCCTTTAAAATCAGATACTGTATGAGGAAAAATTACATGCACTAGCATTAGTGTGCTTCAGTAGCCTAAGCTATTTTCTTCCTTATTAGGTTGTTGACTCACTAAGGGGCAGGAGCAGAGTCTGGTAATTTACTTTTAAAAGTCAGTGAGAATAAGACCTAAGAGAAATTTGATAACGTGCACTGTGATTGAGACCCATTTGGTGATGGCCTCAAAATCTTAATACCTCTAGTTTAATAACTATGAGAACTGAATAGATCTTTGTAAATCAATGAGTCTACCGGGATTTGTAGAGCAGGATGTTTTACCTGCCAAGTGGTTTCTCTTCATTGCCTGGAAGAGAAAATTTATCTTTCCTGCCTCATTATACTTTCTATTGTTTTCTCAAATTTAAATGGTGTAGTACAAATAAGAAATTACTCTCTCTGCAGCTCTGGAAGAAGATATCTCAGTAAAAAGCTGGTTAAGCACTTAGCAAAAATCCCGTGTTTGAATACCAGGAACATCTATTCCATTGGTTTAACTATGGAAAGAAATCAGTATTTCTGGTCAGATGATGCTCAGCAACAGTTACATCTCTGGTAGTGCACAGTCTGACCAGGTGCTTTTTTAAATTTAAAGCAGATCTGAAATTGAAACAATTGAGCTCATTTCAAAATAGTTAAGGAGATGACATGGCAATGCCTTCAGGTTCTAATTTAGGATGTCTGCCATGCTCGCTACTGTTAAATTCATTTTTTTGTAAGTAGTATGTGATATTACTTACTGTGTAATACTCAGGCAGACTACTTGCTGTTTAATTTTAATGAACAATGTGTCCTACTTTTATCTGTTTTGACATCCTAGTGACATAAATATAAAATTAGGAAAACAACTCCATCTTGCTCCATAGTATAGGTGAAGATGCTGACCCAAGAAGATACACCATTTCAGATCATTTCAATGTACAAAGCAACTGTAAAAAATCAAATATTTTATTGAAAAAAAAAAGAAAAAAAAAGGACTTTTTATTTTAAACCTATGGGAACTAAAATCTTCCCATTTTGCATCAAATGACATTAGGTTAAATAAACTAAAAAGGCATCCTTTGTTATTTAAATGGCATAGTCCGGGGCAGTGTCAGTGAGTATTAGAAGGCTGGAGAATTTTCTCTATGTCAGCCTTGGGAATTACACAGCGTTTTTTATTTCCTTTCATTCTGTTTTGTTTTAAACTTTACCATTCTATTAATGGATTTGCCTAATGATTCAAAGATTTATTCTCAATTAATGTGTTTTGCAGCTATACTATTCCGCTACTAGTGATTTCAGAAAGTCAATTTACACATCAGTTATTCACTACCAGGCTTGCTTGGCTGGATCTAGTCCAAACCTAACAACAGAGTCAAATTTCAATATTTAAACCAGATCATAAACTTTCTCAAATTTGATTGCTCTAAGTGGCAAAGCTTCTAGTTTCCATATTAATTAGCAGACATCCTTTAAAGGAGGCAACCGCAGATTACTTATAGAACTAGAAACTACTTCTACATCTCTTGCTGCAAAGTGGCCAACACAAGGGTTGTAGGCTCTACTTCCCTTGTCAGTAAAGGCATGAAAATCCTGCATTCTGGTATATTTGAGTACTTCACAGAAGTTAATGAACTCCCAAAGCTCTTGTATCTACATCCAAAGCAGTCGTAAATCAATATTACATAGACAGAGATGCTAAGAGAGACAAGGACGCAAGGGTCGCAGATAGGATTAATATTTAAGTGTCTGTTGCTCACTTCTGTGTTTTTTTCCCCCACTTACCAAAACTCATTTTCAAAGTCAGAAGGCTGGGCTCCTTCTGGATGCCATGAGCAGGGATTTTTCAGTAGCCTTAAGGATGTAAGTGACAATGTTCAGGGCATGGCTTGGAGCTCTTCAAGTTGTTGGAGAAGGCTACACACTCGCGCTTCATTCACGTTTCATTCCACTGATTTATATGGAAGCATACTTTATAGAGCAGTGACCTGCAGCATAGAGCTCATCCCAGAGGAAAAACAAAACGTTTCCCAAGTTTTCCATATTTTTTTTGAGATAGAAACATCCTTCTTCCTTCTCCCATCAGTGAAAGCAGGTTAACCTCATCAGTTAAAGAAACACAAGGCTAGGCACAGAGAGGAACTGGGACAGTGTAAATGGCTTTCTGTGCCCCAAAGGCCAGCTTTGTTTTCACTTAAAACGCTTCTGAAATCTATCATCTAAATAGTCTTGCGTTTCTGATCTACGGAAATCCGTACCCAGATGTGATACTCTTCCTGACACAATTCCCAGAACACGACATGCTCAGTCACTCAGCACCCCAGTCTGTCTGCTCTGATGGGAATACCAAGTACTTAAACACAGGTATTTTTGTTACTGAAGGGAGCCTGTGTGCCCGAAAACACCCGGGAACAATTATGGTGAAGAAGATGCCATTACAGAGGTACTTTCTGAAAGAAATAGTATGTTAGAGGTCTGAAGCACTCATCTGAGCAAAGGCCTTGCCCCTGGGGGGAAGGGACGTGCAAGCTGTTTGCAAGGTCTTCCAAATGTCTCCTCCGACCTAGGAGCTGGGCTTTGATCTGCACGGGATGACAGTAAGCCAAACTGTCTCTCATTCAAATGAATCTGCCAGACAGTTGGGAGACATTCCACAAAGGGTCACCAGTGAGGGCTGCAGAGGAGGGCGACTCCAGCCCGCGCTCTTTTATAATATCTCCTCACTGCCTCATCTGTCTGCTGAACAGGCCTGCTGTGACTTCCCCCCACATTCAGACTCAATTTGTATGCAAATCCTCCCTCATTTGTTCTTGCTCCCTTCAGAAAGGACAAATTTAGTATAATAACTGTAATTGCTTTAATAACATGAAAAAAACGACACCTTTATGGGACCAACAATCAAAGACTGAAATTGTAACACAGCATGACAGGTGTGGAGGCATGCCACCACTACCGATTTTCCCATTTCAGTATTTCTTTCATCATCTTGAAAAGTGCTTATCTCAATAAGTCAGGCATGGCCAGCTTGTGGCTCTTGAACTCCATGCAGATCGCAGCAATTTATGCACAGCTCCCATGCTAAAGGCTCATTACCAGTTAGGCAGGGGGCTCTGCAGGAGAGTGGCTGCGGAGTGATCCAAGTCCCTCCTTAGAGGAAGAAATGGGTTGACATAGCGAGGTAGAATGACTACCGGTATTTCCTCAGACTGGCTTCTCCCCTCAGCTCTTTTCTTTTCACATATCTTATGCTCTACAGGTTATCAACACAGAGAGAAAACTATCCGTGCTACATGTCAAAGAGCCCATTCCCAACGGTGGCCTCTATTCTCAATCACAGTAAGCTCGTGCTACATGTCAAAGAGCCCATTCCCAACGGTGGCCTCTATTCTCAATCACAGTAAGCTAATCTTTCACATCCTTTCTGTTGATCTAGCCTGTGTCTACTCTTGGTGTCCATCTCTATGGAAAGGAAAAATTAATGGTCGTGCACAGCCACCTTTTCCTTCCTCAATCCTAACACAGACAATATTTTTTCTGTTTTAATTCCAAGATTAGCCAACAAGGATCCATCAGTCAGTTGGGGCAATCGAGGAGTTCTAATCATAAAACTGAACCCTGGAGCTAGTCCTACTGCAACATCTCCCACTTTAGTAAAAGACAAACTCATCAAAGATCAGATATTGCATGCATTAGAGTTGTCTGCTGTCTTGAAGTAGATAATACGATCCAAACCAAAACATGCCATTAACATATAAATGGAGAGCGGTGGTGAGAATTGTCTCTTCAGGCACACTCAGAAGGAGACAGGCCGCAATACTGTGTCTCATCTGCAGACAACTGCAAACAGAGAGATGCCTTTGAGGGCCAGCAGAGCTCTCCAGTCCCTCAGGCTTAAATGGTCTCCCCTAGACCCCTGCAGCTACACCTGCCTTGAGAGCCTCTCCAAAGGCACGCTTGCCTGTTGTAGGAGGGAACTGTGTACACAGCTGTGAACATGGAGGCCTTTTTTTAAGCATTACATGCGAGCAGGAATTAAAGGATCAGGAACCGGAAATATGGACTAGTAGTGGGCTTAACCACCTCCTTCAGGCCTTAATCAGGTTAGACGTGAAGTGGTTCCCACAGACGATCTGCTTGAGAACATGCAAATTGTCACTATCCAGATATTATAGAATGCCAAACTTAAAAGAGGAAATAGTTTGTCTTCTGTTTAATTTGGCCCAAACCTAGAGGCAAAACTGCATGTTGAATCTTTCACAAGCGACCAGAACAACAAGATTCAACTTCCCAAAGCCATTTTATGGAAGATTTCTTCTCATTGTTGAAAAGGGAAGAAACAAATGAGATTTATCCTCCACCATCATTACATGCATTTTCTTTAATGTCTAAGTTACCATCAACTTATTAAAACACCACATAGCGTTTGACCTTGATATTAAAATCATTTGGAGATTAAGAGCAAGCATAAAAAAGCATTAAAAGCAAGGCATGCACTCATATAGTCCATTAGAGTAGGCTACATAGTACTGCCAGCTCTCAATGGAGACAGAACTAAACCAATTCTCAGGTTCACACAAAAGAACAAGAAAAGAAACGATAAAAGCTGAGTTCGTAATCTCAGAGCTAGGACTTCCAGGAATGTTTCTGGTTCTGCTAAAGCTTTGAATGTTAGATGTTCTTAATACTATGGTGGGGGTAAATAAAGTGCTCTTTTAACTGAAAGTGAACAGTTTGCTATGTAAATGAAACGAGAACCCCAGGAACAAAATCTTAGCAACATACGGTTATCTTGGGGTAAACATTTGTTTGTAATATCTTTTAAAAATAATACTGTCAACTTTAGTGATCGACGATTTCACCTCATCTATCACTGACAACTAGAATTATTTTTTCAGCTGTGGATCATGTTAATTGTGGAAGCTAATAGATAGGAATGTAAGGTAAATGGTCTCAATAACTTCAATATATGTGATGACTTTACCAGACTTGCAGTACTGTATTTACTGTAACCAAAAGGTCACACTCTATACTTTAAAGGTAAACAATGAACTTCTCTACATCAGTCACACTTCTGCAAATTATATACAAAAATATTTTTAGAAAAGGCAATTAGGATTTTCTCTCTTTTTAATTAATCTTCGTTTCATAGGCTCTAGAAAAGGCTTTCAGCTTAAGCTGAGACACATGTAAATCAGAGAAGATTACAACTATTGGGCTGGCAAGCAAGGCATTTTAGTAAGGGTGAGCTAAGGCTGTTATAATTTGCCTTTTCTGCAGAAAGGTAAATATTGAGGAAATTCTGAGATTCTATTCTTCATTTCAGCATTAAATAGAAAAGCAATTTCATAGCTACTGTGGTTTAGACACTGTTAGTTACCTTTAAGTAGTGAAATCCCATTCACGCCTTACATATTTATGTCTTACACTGTACATGTGAACTGTATAATAAAACATTTCTAGTAGGGTTTTGTTAATAAACATTTGCTGTTACAAGGATCAAAACTATATCAGCAGAAATGGGGCCTTTGAATAGTATATAATACATAGGAATCTAAGGAAAAGGAATCATTTGAGGGCATAATCTCTGAGAATATCCAATTAAGAATGTTGGCATGAGCAGTCTGCTATGATAGGTATATGATACTCTTGTTTTTGATGCAAGATATATGTTAGTGGAAAACGGCCATGTGTTTTCAAGCAAGTGTGATGAGGTGACACTGGAAAGGAAATGCTCTTTTTGCATGTGCTAACAGAATGCAGAATGGATTAATTTCTATAAAAAAAAAATTTAGAGCACTAGCCTTAACACACAGCAGGAACTGTTGCTCTAAAGGGGTTGTGTCAAAGTTGACAGTCCCTAAATGTAACCTACCATAAAATTAAACTTTTTACGAAATGCCCTTTTGATCCTGAAAAATCTATCAACCTTCCAAATCCAAGGCTGTCACATTGTTAAAATACCAGATACTTTCCTGTGGACATTAAATTTAGGCTTGGTTTTGCAACATGTACATGCAAGTCATGATTTTGTTCTCTCCTCCATGTTATGTTTGGGACTATGCAAGATATTCATAGCACCAGATCTTTTATTTGGGATTTTCATGACATAGAATTTCAGTTATCAGCAATTTATAACAAAGAGATAACATGAGACCTCTATGTTGCAAAGGTAAATGTCTCCTTAGGAGGAGGACAGTTGTTCTTATTCGTGAAAATTGCCAAACAATAAAAGGATTTATTTTTATCTTGTTTGGCTTAATACATGCAAATAGTTTCCAAGGCATGCTGAAATGCAATAAATTATAGTTATGTGGCATATTAAAGAAAAAAAGGCAAAAAGTTTCATTTCTTTTCCCTGCCACTTTGAAACAAAGAGAGCTGTGATTGTGGGTTTTATTTTTTGGCATTTTTAGTTTAAACTCTAGTAGGGAAAATTAAGAAAATTAATTGTGAATTGCTTTCCTTATACTATATTCAATCATAATAAAAAACTACAATTCATGTCCATTTTATTTTTATGTGGACAGGTTCAAAAATACGTATGGAATTTTCATAAGAGAGGTCATGTTTCTGTATCTGGAATTCAACTATAGAAGAGCTTTTCATTACAAATATGCTTATCAAAATGAAGTTTTTCTTCAGGCAGTCATTCTCTCCATTCCCATAATAGTAATATTGTGGGGCATGTATTACATGTCACCTTTCCTCTTCACACCTTAACTACCTACTTATTTTTTTCCTATTTATCCTACATGACACAGGACCTTTAGCTAAGCACCCTTACTGGTTTTACTATAAACCTGCCAAACAGCTGACTACAATTTGTTCCTTTTGTTTTCACAATGTTATTTGCCACAGACAGTGGATAGACTGCTAGCATCAAAATTCACATTTAAAAACCTATCTTCTCAGTGATATAAAACTGATCTCAGTTTCAGTGCTATAAAAATGAAGGCATATGTAAGACCAATTCTGAGTGGGAATGCTCAGCATGCTTGATGCAGAAAGACTCATCCTATAAAGCAAAACTATATCCTAAGTAGCCAGGATTAAGCACAGACTTGTCATAATAACTAATTAATTTAGACGTCATCATCAGGCCAACCAACTCAAAAAAGGTACTCAGCTCAGCCTTGGTAGACGAGGCTTAATGAGAAATCTTCTTCACCTAACATTACTCAGCAGCCCTACTTCATTTCAGGGGGCCTTTTTGACTGCAGAGACTGAAGAGGTAAAGTTTTTGTTTTCACACAGGAGACGGGGGGACTCTCTCATCCCTGTGTTAATCTAGGCCCTGGATGACTAATCCCCACAGCTGACACAAACAGATGTTTTTACTTGTTTGATCTATTAGGTCAAAGGGCTAATGAACTAATGACAATTCTTTAAAGATCTATCAAATAAGACATGATTAGTAGATTTTTTCAGTCTTTTTCAATCTTTTCTACTTAAACAGTGTATGATAGCAAAACAGTAAGATTATGTTGTCTCAGCAAGTTTTTAATTTTTCATCATAGTATTCTTCTTCGCTCAACATTTTTTGTTTTCCTCGGTATATGTCCCCTACGGTGTCAATGTATTTGAAAATATGTTCTTGTCATATAAACATGTCCCTCAATTTAATATTTGAGATAACTGCATGAGGATTACTCCAAGCTGTGTTTCAGCAGTAAATACACAACGTATTTCAGAAATACTTCCAGAGCAGCAACACCTTACTACAGAATTAAATTTTTTGGAGGTTTATGCGTACTTGTGTATAATTCAGCACTTACTATACAGTAATCATTTGTTTTCATCTAGAAGTAAATAACTAATTTTGAAGATTCCACATAAAGGTAATAGAAATGCTCCCCACCAGTCAATACTGAAGAAATCCAAACTTAGCAACTCAACTCTACACAGTGTTTATTTTAATTTTGTTTTTGATAGTGGAAATCGTGTATAAATCACAAACAGTACAAGTTTCTCAGGTCTGGCAGTTGTTCCCATGAATGGGTCAACTACTGTGTACAGACACTGTATTTTTAGTATAAAGTCCAGATAATATGGCAGGTAACTAATACTCTCAACTACAGTAAAGATACAAACTTTTGTAATATAAATTAATTGCCATTACAAAAAGGCAACTGTGTTAACTAATACGGTACAAAAATCTGCAACTTCTATAAATATAATGAAATGCAAGAAGTTAAATGAAATAATACATCACAGATTTCTGTAAAGCGCATAGGAATAGGCAAGCTAAGATATACATGGAACATTATACAGCAAGAAGGAATATCAAAACCCACTAAGATTAAACTTTTTGTTTCTCCATACAAATGCTAGAAGTACAAGTACAGGACACAACATGGAAGCACTAAAGTTACCAGCTGAGAAGTGGGAGACAAAGAAGTCTTACTGACAAGTTGTAAAGCATCAGGCAGCAGACAGAAGCTTGTCAAAACCAGCTGTTGTTGGATACTGATTGATAATGTTTTCACTCTGACGGCTGAAACACTGTGCAGACAGCCACAGGTCTGAGAAGAAGCCCAATGTGGGCACATACACATACACACACATATGCACACAAAGTAATTCAACAGATGTCTAAAGAACATTAAAGCACAGTATCTTTTTTAAAAAGACGATGTTCACTCCTTTATGAACTTGCATGGAAAGTAGAGCCTAGTGCCCAAGTTTATTTCACCTAAATGATGAACACATGTGAAAAGATTAAGAAAAAAAAAAAGCAAATGGGATTGTTCATCTGAATAAAAACTGCATGGTGCTCACATATTCTACCATAGCCATAGTATTCAAGAACACTTTAGACAAGGAAGTGTGACAGGAGATGAAAATCTTTAATCCCTCCAGAAAAAGGTGAAGGTGTTTCGACATTAAAAAGTACACATCCATTTAAGTCCATCCACAACACAAAACCACGAAAGAACTACATTCAAAGTAAAGTTAAGTGTTGGTCTTAGCCATAATCAGTTATGAGGTATTGTTTCAACCTGTGGTAAGGAATGATCACTATACTAGCAAGAATAAGTAATTTTTAAATCATTCATTATGAAACAATCACTGCTCCTGTGCAGTTGGCATTTTCCTAAAAGAAAAAGCATTAAGCATCTAAAGGTCCCTGTCTAACTACATGGGCATATGCCAAAGCCATGTCTCTTGGGCTAACTGGGCCTTTTAGATGGTAGCCATGTAGCACCTTCCAACAGTGCAAAGTTGGGAACTCATAACCAAAATATGAATCAAAGAGGCTAAAATCTTTGGGCCAGACTCACAGATGATACAATGAACAGTTCCAAGAATTCAGTTCATTTGGGATTATTTTCACTTGTGACTCTGGTCCCTCACTTATATATGGGAAAGCAGGGGAAAACAGTAAAAACATGTAACCTCTCACCTTCTAACTAATGTTAAATGAAAAAGCAGTAAAAGCTCTGAATCCCTCTTTTTGCCTCTCTAAACTGCCTGCCTTCTCTTGGGAAACACTTTGCTCACCCCTCCCCACCACTTCTTACTTGTCACTCCCCCTAACAAGGACAGAAATCTTGGGACCTTGGGGGAAATCTGGGGACTCCGTGTGTGCTCACGTTACCAAAGAGGGAGAGTGTGAACCCAGATATCAGACACAGTTCCTCTTTAAACTGAGGAAAAGGAGCCTTAAGCCACACAACAGAAACTCATGGTTAGCTGGGTTATTTCTAAATTGTCCTGATAAAAATGGAACCAACATAGGGCCTGTACTTTAAATGAAGTAAGCCTGTACTTTAAAATGAACGATTCCAGTTCTTGGGTATTTCCAAGAGGACTGAGGAGACTGACCTGGCAGGAAAGTGAAGAAAAACAAAGCAAGAAGAGATGTCCTTCAGGCTTAGGAGCAAAGCTTTCTGGCTAGTCTATAACAAAGTTAAACAAGGAGCTTACCAGTTTTCCCAGCTTTGTTCTGATGATAGGAAGTGTGTTGAAACAGAAATTATCGGGCCATGCATTTGGGCAGATATAATTCTGAAGGAGCAAGCCAAGAAATCCATGGAAATTAAAATGTAAACAAAGAGCTATAAAAACATTTTGTTTAACAAATATTATAATTACAGATAATAGAGAAATGGTTTTTACAAGCCTTTATAAGGTGATTTTTTTTGTTCCCAGATAAACTAGTGAGAAACTACAGTGTATTTTAAATTTAAAGAATAAATGTTCAGAGTGGAAGGGTACGTTGCTTAAAGCCCTAAAAAATGATTTAGGAGTTTAAACACATGAGAAGCAGAATCTATGAAGGACCATTGGCACATCATCCATTTTGTGTTTGCAGACAGTCATGCACATGAGGAGCTGAATGCACAAGGCACAACATTCAAGGCATGCACCAGTCCAGAGACTGGTTTACACATACCCTGTTGTGACTAAGCTGTGAACCACTGACCTGGCACATTTCTTTAATAGACCAAACTTGTTTATATGGTTTTAAAAACCTACAGAAGGCAGCCAAAAACCTGCAAACCTACAATGGGGAAAACTTGAAAAGAGGATATATGCCCTGTGTTACTGGAACCAAATGGGATGTTTCCAAATGTATTAGAAATATTGTGTCCAATGAATACTATTTTGTCTTCTAAGTAACATTTAGCCCAGAGGAAGTTTTAGAGAAAAAGTTATAAACCTTTGAAAAGAGAAGCGTATAATACAAACACTGGCAGGCCCTTAATTGTGGTATAGATGCCTTGGCACTGTTTCAATAACAGTAGTCTTTAGGAGAAAATGATACAGGAGGCAATCCTTATTTAAAATCAGCCACACTTCAAGCCAGCAACAAAGCATGCCTCCTCAGCTGATTTATGAGAGGCTTGCTTTGCTTCTCCTCACAAAAAGTATAGCTTCAGGGAAAGTTATTATTTTATCCCACTTCTGTATATTTTCTACGATGTTGTTACTTACATCATCTTTTTGTCACCTGTTCTTAACAAATACTGTTACTTGCACATACATCTGTGCCCTAATTTCCTCTTAGGGAAAATTCCACCAAAACAATATTTTCTGCCTTTGACAAGGTTATGTATTAGATTTGAGAAGAGGAATCAGCCAGCATGTCAATTATATTTTCATTTAGCAAAACCCCAGACTAAACTGTGCATTAACAAGAAGCTCCTTGCTTTTAAGGTATCTACATCAAGATTCTCAGTGGCTGTGCTTTCTAGACAGACTGTGGGGTCAGTAAACAAGCTAATACAAATTAGTCTTATAAATCCCTAAGACATTAATTATTTTTAAAAGCCAAGGTAGCAGTTAGAATTCCTCCTTTACAGACTACGTTATATTTGTGCGTGCAAAATTTCATATCAAGGGTGATGACAACTCAAGAAAGCAACATGCAGTGTGTAGAACTAGTGGTAAACAAAGAGGAACTCCCTATTTCAGTAGTGTAGACAGTTTTACTGGAAATAATCATGTACCTGATTCACAGAGCATTTAACAAAAGGGTATTCTGCACTAACTGTGTATGAGCAATGTATCATAGCACAGTCTTGATAACACACCATAATTAAGCTGTGAGCAGAATGAGCAGGTACAGTGATGACCGGAGAACCACTCTTTTCTCTCGCACTTCACATTCTTGAAGGTTCGAAGTCTCTCTCTTCTAGTAAGTTTATCAGAAGAGAGAAGCTGTCTTTTACTGCCTCCATATCATCCAGGGAGCAGGGTTTAAGAATCCAGCGCTTTCCACGTGCAAGTGGCTCAAGTTCAAAATATTTTTTGATCTATTAAAAAAGAAGAAAAAAAAAAGAGACAAATCTATTAATAACACAATGACAACGTACAAAAAAAAAAAGGACAAAAAAAAAAAAAAAGCCACCCAAAACCAACATGACAAAGAGATCAAGGATACTCATTTTTAGAATCTTCTCACAGCTGTTCTTATAATATAGGTTATATGTTGTGACCTGAAAGTGTTTTCTTTTGGGGTGAGTGACCTGCTTGGAAGCTACCATTCTACCAATACAAAAAAAAAAAAAAAGGTAAAATAGCAAAAATAGAAGCAAGAAATTAAAGCTGTATGTTTCTTTGGTACACATTTAAGATAGAAAATTTGTTGCCAAACTAATCTAACAACAGCAATTCTCAAAAATTTGCAAATCTTAAACATTCCATTCACTATACTGTAGTTTATTGATTACTTTGAGAGCACTAGAAAAATAAAAATTCTTCCAAAATCAGTTATATTTTTTTAATTACACAGAGAAAATTGGAATACTAATTTGATTATGGATGAGATATAATGTATTTCTATGACATTCTTCATTCAAAACCCAGTATATTACAGAAGCTTAAACTACATCCTAACAATAGGTAGCAACAGCTATAAAGGAAACCCTTTAACTTAAACTAATTCCATTTGTTTATTATGCAGTAACCATGCAGCAAGGAGGCACAAGCATAAGATGCTGCCTGACAGAGTTTCAAGTTATAAGGCTATTATAAACCTTGACAAAACATACTGAGGAAGATGCAGTTTCTTAGAACGATCAATCGTCACTAATTACACCAAATATCAAATCAGAAACACAAACCCACCATGCAATATAAAAGATTTTAACTGGTATCATACTCCAATCACTTTTCACATTAGTAAGCAAATCTGATTTTAGATCCTATTAATGATTCTTAGAAAAAGACGGCTGTTTGCAGGCTATTCCGATCAATAAATTACATTAAACTGTTTTCGTAAAACTTTTAGTCTTTGATAGTATTCAATCCAATAGTCTACCCATATCTGACTTGTCAAAACGCACATTTAGCTTTTACATTGAAATTATATCCATCAATACATGCTATTGTCAACAAAGCAAGAGAACTATTTGGTCCTAACTTAGTTTGCACATTCTTATTCTTGCTATATCTCGTGCCAAAATATTCTTGATTTTCTCCTATCACAGACTGAGCCACAAATATGCACAACAAGATTGTATTGTGGTAGCAGCAGAGGCCCGGGACAGGCAACTGGGCAAGGCTGTGCACTGCAAACAGAAAAAGGCTTTGAAAGCCCCAGCAAACTATGAAGTCTCAGAGTATCACAGCAGTTTTATTTAACTAGTAGTTCAATCTAATAGAATAAGATTGTGCTAACTCACATAAATCATAAATGAATTGTGACAAAAAGGTAGGAAGATTTTCTTATGCTGCCTGTAAAGAACTTGGATAGAGCTTCTAGGAACAGAATAGGTGGAAAAAAAAGTTTGCTTTTGAGCTGGAAACTACTGCTTCTCTCAGCCAAGGGGCAGATGAAATCTTCTAAAAATCTAACAAAGCAGAAGTGTCTCAAAAATGACCTGCAAACATGCAGACACCTGAAATTCACTCCTCCTTAGAAAAAATCCAGAAAAAAAACCTGTGGAAATAAAGAGGTCTGACAAATACCAGGATGTAGCTATCCCTTAGCATCACTGTCACCGTGACACAGTAGTAACTGATACGTTAGCACAGTTACATGCGACCGAAATATAAACACTAATCCCCATAACGGGGATAACGTGATGTCCTCTGCAGCTGAGTTA